AGATAGGGAAGGGGGTGAGGAGAGAGCGGGGCGGGCGCTCCCCGGTGGAGCGGGGCGGGTGTGACCTTGGCCGGGCCCCTCTGAGGGAGCAGCGGCGGGGGAGGCCGCGCCGGCTGAGGGGCTGCCCCGGGACTCGGGGCCTGGGGGGGCAAAGCCCCGCCGGTACCGACACCGGAGGAGCCTCCCTGAGGCGGGGAGGTACCGGTCTGGCGGTTAGGCCTTGCGGCCTGCACCGCGCCTGGGCCTCCGAGGGCCGGAGGCGCTGCCGGGCCGGGGCCGCGTCGTCCCCTCGGTGTCCCCTCAGGGCCCGGTGACTCTCTCCTCCTCCTTCTCCCAGTTCCACAAGGCCGGAGGCACAGGCCTGCTCGCCCCACCGAGCTGGTGGCATCTCATACCCATCGTCTTTTGTAAACGTCCGCAGCTGCCTTGGTTGCAACTCAAAAGGTTTTATTTGTAGGAATAAAACATTGAAATGAAGATTAGGCTCAGGATTAGGTGTGCAGCCTCTACAAGTACAGATCTGTGATTTCTCAGGGCTTTTCCCAAAGCTTGGCAGATTGCTCTGCTGCCACGTTTTAAGTTTCTCCGTAAATGTCAGCTCTGCCTTTCCAGAGCACAAAATTCGGGACATCAGTAAAATAAGTTTTATTTATTGATCGATTGCTGTGGGCCCCAGATAATCTCGTTCTCCCTGCAGCAGGATTGTGCCACGGGGACGTGTTGCTGCTGAGCTGGGGGGGAGCTGGGGGTGCCCCAGGCTGTTTTGTCCCGTTTGCTGCTGGTGGCCCCGTTATCTCTGTCCCCCTGCGGTGACGTGGGGGGGGTTCAACTCCCCGGGAGCTGCTGTTTCGGGGAGCGGTGTGACCACGCTGGAGGACCTGGCTGTAGTTTGCATCCCAGTTGCCCTCGTTAGAAGCACGGGTCGTTGCGTGGTCTGGGAAGGGCCCAAGCAGCTGACGGGGAGGCAGAGGTGGGGCTGGCATGTCACAGCGGTTTGACGACAAGAAAGCCAACGGCATTCTGGCTTGTATTAGAAATAGTGTGACCAGCAGAAGTAGGGAGGTGATTGTGCCCCTGTACTCAGCACTGGTGAGGCCACACCTCGAGTGTTGTGTCCAGTCTTGGGCACCTCAATACAAGAGAGATCTGGAGGTGCTGGAGCGAGTGCAGAGGAGGGCAACGAAGCTGGTGAGGGGGCTGGAAAACAAATCATATGAAGAGCGGCTGAGGGAGTTGGGGCTCTTTAGTCTGAGGAAGAGGAGGCTGAGGGGAGACCTCATCACTCTCTACAACTTCGTGAAAGGACACTGTAGAGAGGTTGGTGCTGGTCTCTTCTCACAGGTAATTAACAATAGAACGAGAGGGAATGGCTTCAAGCTCCAACAGGGGAGGTTTAGATTGAACATTAGGAAGGAATTTTTCACCGAAAGAGTGGTCGGGCATTGGAACAGGCTGCCCAGGGAGGGGGTGGAGTCCCCATCCCTGGCTGTGTTTAAGGGCCGTTTAGATGCAGTGCTGAGGGACATGGTGTAGGGGAGGACTTTGTAGAGTAGGGGAGATGGTTGGACTCGATGATCCCAAGGGTCTCTTCCAACCTGAATGATTCTATGATTCTATGAAGTGCTGCCTGTTGTACAGCAGAGCTGGTACCAGGCTGGCTCCCCGCAGAGCCCTCGGTGCTGAGAAGAGGCAGCTTTGTTTATTTAAAATGCTTTAAAACGTGGTGGCCTCTGACTCTGGCCGTTGGTTGGCCGTGAGGAGGGCTGCAGGCAGCCGTGGAGCTCGGGGGGACGATTCACCCCTCGGAGCGAGGGTCTCGGCTCAGGGGTGGTCTGGGCTGGCGTGGAGCCTTGCCCTGCCGGCCCTGCCACCCTCTCCTCTTTTTATTGAACCAGACAGTGCAGGGAGTCCCTGCAGCTCCCTCTGAGGTGTGGGGGATCCTCAGCCTCTGCCGTCAGCGGGGCCATGGCGTAAGCAAAGTCCTGGCCTCTGCTCTCCTCACCCCTAAGCGACCTCGGTTGCCATCGGGAGTAGGAACCCAACCTTACCTTGCGTGTAGGCTCCCCTTAAAGTCAGGGAAACAATTACCAGTAACATAAAGCTGGTAGAAAGTGCCAAATTAATAATGGAATAATCTCTTTTATTCTCTTGCGATTGTTCCCTCTGCTGAGGTGGAGCACTGCCAGGGACTGGGGGGTGGTTTGTGTCAGTTTTCAGATACACACGGCGTCTGTCCAGGAGTTCAAAGGAGCTGACACACCGACTGACTGTGCTGGTATCAAAGACGTTTTCTCGTTTAAAAGCTGCTCCTGCAGAGGCTTGGGGGCTGGTTTAAAAGGAAAATTAAGAACCCCAAAGGTAACAGCTAATGAGCTTGACATCCGAAGTAGGGTTAAAGATGGAAAACATCTAGGGAAGCATTCGGTGATTGGGGTCTAATTAGCAAAGCTTCTGTGAAGAACAGTCATAATTTGCTAAACTGAAATTCTTTGACCTTGTGGGTAAAGGAAAACCACTTTACTATTTAGATTTCCAGAAAACTTTTTAACAAGATCGCTGTTCACAAGCTAATGAAGGAAGAGGGTTGTGATGAGATGTTTTATTCATAACAGGGTAGATCAAAATCTGGACAGAAGATGTGGAGAAGAACAAAACAACAAAAAAAAAGCCCCGAGAAGAAAGACTTTGTGGCTTTTCATCTCGGCATCTCTGACAACAGTGTGCCTCGAACCTTTTTCTGATCATTAAATGCAGGAAATAGGGGAAGGAAAATCAAATGTGAAGCGGGGCTAAATTATTTAATTTACTCAAAGCCAGAGGGGATTTGTCAGGAGTAGGAGATGAAAGTGTGTTACAGGCAGGGCAATAAAAAGGGAAGGTGATGTGAGGAGGGATAATGTACAATCCTGCTGGTTTCTGAGTCGCTGTGGGTTTGTGACCTGGATGTGGCTGTCACTGGGGATATCCCTGGTGACATTTGGGTGGGGATCTGGTGCCTTTGGAACAACCTGGTGATGCTGGGATGGAAAAGTGAAGCGAGCAACCGATGCCACGTGTGTAAACAAGCAATTTGCCTGCCTTGGGAAGGCGTGCAGAGCGGGCCACGCTCTCGTTAACGCGGCTGCGGAGGGAGGGAGGGAGGGAGGGATGCAGAAGTAGGTCAGGGAAGTGAGGAGCCTGGGAGAAGGTGTAGGAGGAGGGACTGCCAGTTTGGGATCTACTTGCAGGAATTAAAAAAAAAAACAAAATGAAAATCCTCGTGACAAAATGCGCAGTAAAGCGAGGGGTCTGGGGAAAAGAGATGGTGTTTGTCACCCCTCGCAGCAGAAGAGGATTAGCATGTTCTGTGGAGTAGGAAAGTGGCAGATTAAAAAGGGATCAGTGCAGATGTACCCTCAGTCCTGGGCTCCCCAGTTCCTGAAGGATGGGGAGATGCTGGAGAGGGGACAGCAAAGAGCTACAGAGATGATGAGGGGCCTGGAGCATCTCTCGTATAGGGAGGTGCTGAGGGACTTGGGGCTTTTTAGTCTGGAGAAGAGAAGGCTGAGGGGAGATCTGGTCAATACCTATAAATACTACAAGGGTGGGTGTCAGGAGGATGGGGCCAGTCTTTTTTCAGTGGTGCCCAGGGACAGGACAAGAGGAAATGGGCACAAGCTTCAACATAAGAAGTTCCATCTCAACATGAGGAGCAACTTCTTCCAAGTGAGGATGGCAGAGCCCTGGCAGAGGCTGCCCAGGGAGGTGGTGGAGTCTCCTTCTCTGGAGACATTCAAACCCCACCTGGACACATTCCTGTGCAACCTGCTCTGGGTGGCCCTGCTCTGGCAGGGGGTTGGACTGGGTGATCTCCAGAGGTCCCTTCCAACCCATACCATTCTGTGACTCTGTGGAGGAGCTGGATGCTGTGGGGAGCCCTCGTGAACAGAAACGTGACATTCAGAGTGCGATGGGGAATGCACGTGGATGCTCGTAGCTGTGATTTGCTAACCTGAGGGTGCCACAGAGTTCAGTTTTGTCACCCTGCGCGGTGTCATAATCTGGTTTTTGCACAGTTTTCTGACTATTGACAGCGCAGGAGTTATAGTCACCTGAGTGCTTGGCTTCTGCTGTAAGATTTAGATAGAAGATGAAAGAAACACAATAGCTTTGTTATTTTGTGCTTCGAAATTACCAGCAGTGTAACAACAGAGGTTAATTACCAGGTTAGTGCTCACCTGGTTTAGGAGTTCGGGTTGGTGGCGGAGAGTTCTAGTGTTGGGCAACGGATTTTGAACCCCAAATTAAAGCTCATCTCCCTGGTGTTGAAAGTGTTTGCTGCGAGGGCGTTACTCTTTCCATTCCAAACCTTTTCCGTGCTGGTTGGAAATATTGGATTCTTCATGTCATCGGAGGCAGGAATTGCAGCCGTCTCTGACTGGGTCTGTGTTTTGGCCGAGTGAATTTCAGAGATCCAGGATGCACCAGGAAAAAAACCCTTTCCCTTTAACAAAAGCTGACTTTGAAGCCTCTCATTTGCATAACCAGAACTAAAGAAAACCAGGAGTAATCCAGGAAAGCGGGGTTTTGTGCCAGCTGTGAACCAAGTCTCGTTTCATTTGCCACTGAAGTTTTCCGTAGGTCAGAAGGAAAATGGGAACAATAAATGTGAAGCTATTTATGCTCTGTAAGTAGGGCAGAGCCAGAACTCTGCAGAAGTTTTCCATGGTGGAAATAGGTCTTTCTGCCTTGTGTGAGGAGTTTGGGCAATTCTTCTGTATATTTGATATAAAAAGGGAGCTCAGGGAGGATATAGAAAGGGAACTCAAGGGAGCCGGGTTGGTAGATTCTTGGCAAACCTCGAGTTTGTTTTGCTGTTTTCCCTGTGTTTTGGTGATGTCTGCTCAGCATGCTGGGTGTGAGACAACACAGGCTTGATTTTCACTCCAGTTACACTCAGTGCTCGAGTGGTGAATCCGTTGCTGTTACTTGTATGGTTTAAAGGGATGAAATTTAGCATTTCCATCTTTATTTTCCTTTCCAGTCCCTGGAGGATAGTAGATGACTGCGGAGGTGCTTTCACGATGGGAGCGATAGGAGGTGGCATTTTCCAAGCTATCAAGGGGTTCAGGAATTCCCCAGTGGTGAGTAAAACCATTTGAGAGCACATTCTGAGGGCATCCTGCTTTCTCTCCCCGTCAGCAGTGAGTCTGACCAGCTGAAGGTAGAGGAGAAATCATCCCTGTGCTGGAGTGGGAGTAATTAATGACCTGCCTGTCATTAATCCAAACCAGGGGGGTACATCTGGTGACCGGCTCAGGATCCAGATGGCTCCTTTGTCTTTCTGGGTAGAAGTTCTGCTTTCCCTGCTTGATCTGGTGACACCAGTGGGACCCTGGCTGAGGGACATCTCCCTCGGGATGGGGAAGTGGAGGGTGCAGCAGAATTTGTCCATTTTGGCTGATCTTCAGCCTTTGATTCCGTCTGCACATAAAGACGCGGAGCCTGGGCTGTTCTCCCTGCTCTGGCCACCCCTCTCCCTCCCTTTTCACAAATGGAAAGACACAAAGCCAGAATCTTTCCTCCTTCAGATTTATATTAGGGGGCATTATTTTCTTTAATTAATCTCTTATTTAATTATTAACATTCTTTTTTAACTAGATTTTTTTGATAGTTGGGTTTTGTTTAAATGCAGAAGTGTGTGTCAGCGTGAAAGCTGAAGTTGAGTTGATGCTCAAGTCAGTTTTACTTTCAGGATTTCTGTTGCCAAATTTTGACTAGAAACCTTTTTAAACATTTTAGAAAGTTTTAAAAGGTTTTCTCTGGCAAAAAAAGGGATTTTTGTCGAGTTTTTTGGTGTTACTTGTGTGACACTTAATAAGTTTGAGGTAAGTTTTGTAAGTAAATAACTGTTTCCAAACTAGTCAGATCCTGCAGACAATTAAATTGAAAAGGATTATAGACTTAACTATATTCTTAATTTTGCTTAAGACTTATTAAATAAACCTGTTTGTGCTTCTGAGTGCTTGTATCAAAAATAAAACTTGGGTGTATGTTCTTTAAATCTCCTTAAAGCACAGGAGAGTCCCAAGTGATAATTCTGTGGGGTCCTGGGTGACGTTTTTAGCACCAGACTCTGGAAGGCTCAGCACCACGTTCAGAAGCTGAATTCCTCACTTCCCTTAGCTCCCGAGACTGGGCTGAGGGACAAGGATTAAATCCTCCACCTGACCAGAAATGACTAAATTGGGGACAACCAGTGAGATTCCTGCTGCCAGTCCAGCCCAGCCCTCCGGGGATGTGGGGATCTGAGAGAGGCTTGTACTGAAATAGATGAAATACTGATGGAAATGGGATATAACAGAAGGGGTTTCCTCTCGCACGGCCCCGTGGGACTCCTGTTGGGTGGATTTCCCTGTTCTCCCCACAGAGTCTCCTCCCCATGGTTTCCTGCCCCTCATGCTCTGCTGGTGGCTCCTGTGCCAACTGCATGAGGTGACTGGGCAGCAGATCAGAGCAGAGAAATAATAAATGTCTCTTTTAGTCCCCAGTAGGCCACTCAGACTTTACACTCAAGTTATTTAATGCCTGATGGCTGTAATTCATTTCTGTAGTTGATGGGTACATTACGAGGGAGTGGTAAATACTAAGCAATGTGTAAAACAGTTTTTATCAGCTCCTCTCTTGAGGGCACTTAGAAATATGTCGGGCCTGTGGCAAGTTTTTGCTCTGTACAGATTGTCTGAATCTTCACTCTTTTAACTGTCATTTCTCTTTTATTGTAGGGTGTGAACCACCGGCTGCGAGGAAGTCTGACAGCAATTAAAACAAGAGCTCCACAACTGGGAGGTAATTAATTTTGTGCTTGCCTGGTGGCAGATAACCCAGTTTGGGAACATAATGTGGGACAAGAGCTGTGGGGCAGATCAGTGGGGTTTGTGAGTCCAGGCAGGAGGTAAATGTGGGTCTGGTTGCATCCAGGATTGGTTCAGGTGGGGAGGGAAGGTGCTTCTGTTCATGGTGTGATAAGCCAGGGTTAACAGAGGGTGGGATTGAGTGCCCCCTCAGCACGTTTCCCAGTGACACCAGGCTGTGTGGTGTGGTGACACGCTGGAGGGAAGGGATGGCATCCAGAGGGACATGGACAGGCCAGAGAGGTGGCCCCGTGCCAACCTCATGAGGTTCAGCCAGGCCAAGTGCAAGGTCCTGCACCTGGGTCAGGGCAACCCCAAGCACAAACCCAGGCTGGGTGGAGAATGGCTGGAGAGCAGCCCTGAGGAATCCTGCTTTCTCTCCCCGTCAGCAGTGAGTCTGACCAGCTGAAGGTAGAGGAGAAATCATCCCTGTGCTGGAGTGGGAGTAATTAATGACCTGCCTGTCATTAATCCAAACCGGGGGGTACATCTGGTGACCGGCTCAGGATCCAGATGGCTCCTTTGTCTTTCTGGGTAGAAGTTCTGCTTTCCCTGCTTGATCTGGTGACACCAGTGGGACCCTGGCTGAGGGACATCTCCCTCGGGATGGGGAAGTGGAGGGTGCAGCAGAATTTGTCCATTTTGGCTGATCTTCAGCCTTTGATTCCGTCTGCACATAAAGACGCGGAGCCTGGGCTGTTCTCCCTGCTCTGGCCACCCCTCTCCCTCCCTTTTCACAAATGGAAAGACACAAAGCCAGAATCTTTTCTCCTCCAGATTTATATTAGGGGGCATTATTTTCTTTAATTAATCTCTTATTTAATTATTAACATTCTTTTTTAACTAGATTTTTTTGATAGTTGGGTTTTGTTTAAATGCAGAAGTGTGTGTCAGTTCACAAATGGAAAGACACAAAGCCAGAATCTTTTCTCCTCCAGATTTATATTAGGGGGCATTATTTTCTTTAATAAATCTCTTATTTAATTATTAACATTCTTTTTTAACTAGATTTTTTTGATAGTTGGGTTTTGTTTAAATGCAGAAGTGTGTGTCAGCGTGAAAGCTGAAGTTGAGTTGATGCTCAAGTCAGTTTTACTTTCAGGATTTCTGTTGCCAAATTTTGACTAGAAACCTTTTTAAACATTTTAGAAAGTTTTAAAAGGTTTTCTCTGGCAAAAAAAGGGATTTTTGTCGAGTTTTTTGGTGTTACTTGTGTGACACTTAATAAGTTTGAGGTAAGTTTTGTAAGTAAATAACTGTTTCCAAACTAGTCAGATCCTGCAGACAATTAAATTGAAAAGGATTATAGACTTAACTATATTCTTAATTTTGCTTAAGACTTATTAAATAAACCTGTTTGTGCTTCTGAGTGCTTGTATCAAAAATAAAACTTGGGTGTATGTTCTTTAAATCTCCTTAAAGCACAGGAGAGTCCCAAGTGATAATTCTGTGGGGTCCTGGGTGACGTGTTTAGCACCAGACTCTGGAAGGCTCAGCACCACGTTCAGAAGCTGAATTCCTCACTTCCCTTAGCTCCCGAGACTGGGCTGAGGGACAAGGATTAAATCCTCCACCTGACCAGAAATGACTAAATTGGGGACAACCAGTGAGATTCCTGCTGCCAGTCCAGCCCAGCCCTCCGGGGATGTGGGGATCTGAGAGAGGCTTGTACTGAAATAGATGAAATACTGATGGAAATGGGATATAACAGAAGGGGTTTCCTCTCGCACGGCCCCGTGGGACTCCTGTTGGGTGGATTTCCCTGTTCTCCCCACAGAGTCTCCTCCCCATGGTTTCCTGCCCCTCATGCTCTGCTGGTGGCTCCTGTGCCAACTGCATGAGGTGACTGGGCAGCAGATCAGAGCAGAGAAATAATAAATGTCTCTTTTAGTCCCCAGTAGGCCACTCAGACTTTACACTCAAGTTATTTAATGCCTGATGGCTGTAATTCATTTCTGTAGTTGATGGGTACATTACGAGGGAGTGGTAAATACTAAGCGATGTGTAAAACAGTTTTTATCAGCTCCTCTCTTGAGGGCACTTAGAAATATGTCGGGCCTGTGGCAAGTTTTTGCTCTGTACAGATTGTCTGAATCTTCACTCTTTTAACTGTCATTTCTCTTTTATTGTAGGGTGTGAACCACCGGCTGCGAGGAAGTCTGACAGCAATTAAAACAAGAGCTCCACAACTGGGAGGTAATTAATTTTGTGCTTGCCTGGTGGCAGATAACCCAGTTTGGGAACATAATGTGGGACAAGAGCTGTGGGGCAGATCAGTGGGGTTTGTGAGTCCAGGCAGGAGGTAAATGTGGGTCTGGTTGCATCCAGGATTGGTTCAGGTGGGGAGGGAAGGTGCTTCTGTTCATGGTGTGATAAGCCAGGGTTAACAGAGGGTGGGATTGAGTGCCCCCTCAGCACGTTTCCCAGTGACACCAGGCTGTGTGGTGTGGTGACACGCTGGAGGGAAGGGATGGCATCCAGAGGGACATGGACAGGCCAGAGAGGTGGCCCCGTGCCAACCTCATGAGGTTCAGCCAGGCCAAGTGCAAGGTCCTGCACCTGGGTCAGGGCAACCCCAAGCACAAACCCAGGCTGGGTGGAGAATGGCTGGAGAGCAGCCCTGAGGAGAAGGACTTGGGGGTGTTGGTGGGTGAGAAGCTCCACAGGCCCCAGCAACGTGCGCTGGAGCCCAGAAACCCCCCACCCCTGGGCTGCATCCCCAGCCCCGTGGCCAGCAGGGTGAGGGGGGGATTCTGCCCCTCTGCTCTGGGGAGACCCCCCCCAGTGCTGCCTCCAGCTCTGGGGCCACCAACAGCAGAAGGACATGGAGCTGTTGGAGCGGGGCCAGAGGAGGCCCCGGAGATGCTGGGAGGGCTGGAGCCCCTCTGCTGGGAGGGGGGGCTGAGAGAGTTGGGGGGGTTCAGCCTGGAGAAGAGAAGGCTCCGGGGAGACCTTGGAGCCCCTTCCAGTCCCTCAAGGAGGGGGGCTCCAGGAAAGCTGGGGAGGGACTCTGGATGAGGGAGGGGAGCCCTAGGAAGAGGGGGAAGGGTTTGACCCTGCAAGAGGGGACTTGCAGGGTCTTTGACCCTGCAAGAGGGACCTCCCTGCAAGAGGAGCTGAGCTGTGGGGAAGAACTTGTTTGGTGTGAGGGTGGTGAGAGCCTGGCCCAGGTTGGCCAGAGAAGCTGTGGCTGCCCCATCCCTGGAGGGGTTCAAGGGCAGGTTGGAGGGGGCTTGGAGCAACCTGGGCTGGTGGGAGGTGTCCCTGCCCAGGGTGGGACTGGATTAGGATAAGGTGCAAAATTGCTCTGCATCATTCTCTATGTGGAAATATGTTTAGAAATGGAAAAATTTGAAAGTTCCCTGGGCTCATCTGGCTTTATTGGAATGGAAGTTCCATTATGATCACTGTTTGTTAAGCTTCTTGTCATTAACTATAAATTAGTAGGATTATATATAAAATATGTGTAATTTGTGTGTCACCCCACAAATTGAGAATTTTTCTCAGTCTTGATTTTAATCTATTTTGAGTTCTTTGGGAGTTTGTGTGTACTTCCATGTCTGAAACCAGCAGTTTCTCTTGATTACGTGGCTGCAGCACGAGTGGCTCCAAACTGCTTTCTCCAAACTGTTTCTTGTTTATTTTCTAACAGGTAGCTTTGCTGTCTGGGGAGGGCTCTTCTCCATGATCGACTGCAGCATGGTCAGAATGAGAGGGAAAGAAGATCCGTGGAATTCCATCACGAGCGGGGCCCTGACCGGAGCCATATTGGCTGCCAGAAGTAAGAACCCGAGCTCTGGGGAGGAAGTTAATTGAAAAACTTCTGTTTTCTAAATGTACTCATCGTTACAGCGAAACAACAGTCTGCGATACCCAAATTGGAATTTACTTGCTCAGGGAAATTGAAGAGTGGATACTGAAGAGAAAGATAATCTGAAACTTTTGTCCTGTGCTTATAGAATCATAAAATTGTCTGGGTTGGAAGGGACTTTCAAGATCATTGAGTCCAACCATCAGCTCAACTGATAAAACCCATCACTAACCCATGTCTCCAAGCTCTATGTCAACCCGGCTTTTGAATCCCTCCAGGGATGGGGCCTCAACCCCTTCCCTGGGCAGCCCATTCCAAGGATTAACAACCCTTTCTGTGGAAAAATTGTTCCTCATCTCCAATCTGAACCTCCCCTGGGGCAACTTGAGGCCGTTTCCTCTTGTCCCATGGCCTGTTCCTTGGGAGAAGAGACCACCCCCCCTGGCTACACCCTCCTTTCAGGGAGTTGGAGAGAGCCAGAAGGTCTCCCCTCAGCCTCCTTTTCTCCAGGCTGAACACCCCCAGCTCCCTCAGCTGCTCCTCACAAGTTCTCCAGCCCCTTCTCCTTGTGCTCCAGACCCCTCACCAGCTCCGTTGCCCTTCTCTGGACCCGCTCCAGCCCCTCAATGTCCTTTTCTTTTGTTGTGAGGGCCCCAAAACTGGACACACACTCGAGGTGGTGCCTCACCAGTGCCCAGTCCAGGGGGACCATCACCTCCCGAGTCCTCCTCACCACACTGTTCCTGGTGCTGGTGGCCTTCTGGGCCACCTGGCACACTTATAAAAGTAATAATGATGTTCTCAGACATTACCCCGTTCCTTTGTTTCCTTGAGGAAGAGGAGGGGAGTTGCCCAGTAATTATCCTTTTGTTGGTGATGCTAATGAGGCTTAACGGATGCAAAATTCAGAGGCTGCTTATAAGAGAGATAATAACTGAAGGGAGAGAGCTATAATATGCAAAATAATGCACCAAAGAAGTAAAAAAAAAGTGTTTTGTGCTTTTTATTTGCAGATGGCCCCGTTGCCATGGTCGGATCTGCTGCCATGGGAGGAATTCTCCTGGCTTTAATCGAAGGAGCTGGTATTCTCTTGACAAGATTTGCCTCCACACAGTTCCCCAACGGTGAGGAACCACCGCGCTCCGGTGTCTGAAGGCTCTTGTAGCACAGCCATTACTCACCAACCTCAGTCTCACCATGGAGCACGGCTGCTCCACCAGCTTCTGAGGCTGCAGGAAGCCCAGGAGGAGCCCAGAGCATCACCAGCTCCATCCCAGTGGGCAACTGGAGGTTGTGGGGCTGAAATTGGGGACCCAGGGCTGAAAGTAGGGACGTCCCTGCCATCCTGCCCTGTCCCCTGGGGCTGCCCCACAGCCTGGCAGGTGGTGGCAGCAGGAGTTTAGTCGATGGAGGGTGACACAGGAGGTGTGCAGATTGTGGGGAAGGGCCTGCTGTGGGCTGTGTCCCAGTATAGACACTGGTTTAAATGGGCTGATGGAGATCAGTGGACAAATAACAGATAAAACATTTCAAAGGGGGTGTGGGAGTGGTGGCGTTTTTTTTCTTAACTTCTTCATAAACTAGATCCCTTTTGTGTTTTTTTAACATAAGCTGGGGTGTCAGCCGAGTCAGGAACCATTTATGTTACTACTTATGTCACAAAATACTCTGTACCTCTTGCCCCAGCTTATTTTGGGAGGAATTCTGAGCAAAAAGACCAGTGGAAAGGATTAGTGACGAGCCACTAACTCCCGAGAGGCTTCCTCTCGGGTTTGTTGCCTGATGTTCTTTGTTCCATTTAAAATCCTAAGAGTTCCTGGCCTTCGTGCCCAGCCATTTTCAAATGAAGCTGCTTTAGAGGAAGGGTGTGGTTTACCTGTTAGGATTTCTTCTCTGGGCCTGGCACACAGTAAATGTATTGCTTCCCTCCAGCAGAGCGGCAGCAGGAGGAGTCGGGGAGCTGACTCCGCACTGATTTGTTCCGTCTCACTGGCTTGCTTTATTGTCGGGCAAGTTACGGTGGGTAACCCTTTACAGAGTGGCTAAGTACAGCCACCCTTTACAGAGTGGCTAAGTTCAACTGGAGGGCAAGAAGGAAGTCACAAGTGGTGTTCCTCAAGGGGCCGTGCTGGGGCCAATACTGTTTAACATTTTTATCAATGATATAGACAGGGAGATTAAAGGCACCATCAGCAAGTTTGCGGACGACACCAAGCTGTGTGGTGTTGTCGATACACCAGAGGGACGGGATGTCACCCAAAAGGACCTGGACAGGCTGGAGAGGTGGGCCCAGGTGAACCTCATGAGGTTCAACAAGAGCAAATGCAAGGTTCTGCACCTGGGCCGGAACAATCCTCGCCACCAATACAAACTGGGGGGGGAGGGATTGGAAAGCAGCCCTGAGGAAAGGGACTTGGGGGTTCTGGTGGACGAGAAGCTGGACATGAGCAGGCAGGGGGCACTTGCAGCCCAGAAGGCCAATCACATCCTGGGCTGCATCAAAAG